AATTTTGTAGATATTTTTGAAAATCCTTGTGTCAGATTTTAGGTATTAATGACTGAAATAAACCTGCAAAATTTCAAGACAATCCATCAAAATTTGTTTGAGATAATTTGTACACAATTTTTGTGACATACACACACACACATACATCTGGACATTTGCTCATAATTGAATATACATATATTCTAGATGAAAATGAGTCCATATAACCTTCTTTTGAAAAATTGAAAATCGTCACCAATGCAAAGCTTCCTCATGAGGAAGCAAAAAGGAGTAATCTCTTTAAGAAATATAAAAAAGCGATTGATATTTATTTTTAAAGACTTAATTTGTTATTTGAACTTGATAAAAGTATCAAATAATTTATAATAAACTGTAAAATATGTTATTTAAGTTTCTGTATGAAATGTCAAAAATCGATCATATTTAACAATTTTTTTTGACAAAGTAATTTAATTTTTGTAAATCAGAATTATTTAAATAATAAGTATTTTAAATCCACTTTATTATTATTTAAATACTTTTTTGATTATCAACTGAGAAATATAAAAAAATTTACCTTAAAAAAGAACCATTCTTCATTTTATCGGGATTTTGAATGTTTGTAACTTCGTTGGAGAAAACCCGATTTATGCCAAATTTTTTGAGCATGTTGATTGAAGCAATATCTTCCTGCTACTAAAATTTCGCGATGGGTTTTGCACTAGTTTTCAAAAGAAATTGATTTAAAAAAAGTGTTTATTTTGAAGGTTAATGACAAGTATTATAGCTGACTTGAAGTTGGTTTGTTTTAAACTGACCTTAAAAAAATCGTTTTATTTTGAATTTGACTTTTATTGCAAGTAGCAAACCAACTTCAAGTTAGTTATAATACTTGTCTGTAACCTTCAAAATAAACAATTTTTTTAAATCAATTTCTTTTGAAAACTAGTGCAAAACCCATCGCGAAATTTTAGTAGCAGGAAGATATTGCTTCAATCAACATGCTCCAAAAAATTGGCATAAATCGGGTTTTCTCCAACGAAGTTACAAACATTCAAAATCCCGATAAAATGAAGAATGGTTCATTTTTAAGGTAAATTTTTTTTTATTTCTCAGTTGATAATCAAAAAAGTATTTAAATAATAATAAAGTGTATTAAAAATACTTATTATTTAAATAATTCTGATTTACGAAAATTAAATTACTTTGTCAAAAAAATTGTTAAATATGATCGATTTTTGACATTTCATACAGAAACTTAAATAACATATTTTACAGTTTATTATAAATTATTTGATACTTTTATCAAGTTCAAATCACAAATTAAGTCTTTAAAAATAAATATCAATCGCTTTTTTTATATTTCTTAAAGAGATTACTCCTTTTTTAAATATTTTGTAATGCCTGTCAATGTAACCTTTTTTCATGTACTCTCAATTTATAATATCTTTTTTTATATGAAATGAAATTATTTTTTACAAATCATTGTGCATTTCGTAATCCCAAAACATATAAGAATATTTTCCCGAAATATTGAAATTTTTTATAAAGATCAAAAATACATTAGGCGAAATAAAATGGTTTGACCCTCCTATGACAGAGGCATAACTTCGCCTCACTCTACATTTTCTGTTTTTGTAAAAAGTAAGAAAAAAAATCTTTATAACGCAATAGATTTAATTTAAATTACATGGAAATTATATTTAAAATTATACTGGTATTTTTTCTAAAAAATAACCTGGGATTCCTGGAAAAAGCCTGGAATTTTGAATTAGGTTTTTCGTAGGAACCTTGATCATTCAAACAACCCTCTGTACAAATTAAAATCCCTTTGTCAGAGTTATAAAGATTTGAATGCAACAGTGTTACTTCAAATTTTTAAAACTTGAATCTCTAATGTTTTCTAAATATTTTTTTTAAATGATCTAATATTTAGGAATGTTTTACATTATAGGAAAAAAATTTACTAAAGTCAGTTCAATAAATTTTAATTCTGAGTGACTTTCTTCAGAGAATGCCCTACATAATGTATAATCTTGTACAAAGATTTACAACCGGAACAACTGCACTTTATTTAACCCTTTAAATCCCAAATTTTTCTCAAAAAGTCGCAAATTTTTATTTTTAAACAATTTGTTTAGGGAAAGTTATTAAGGTCTTCTATTTGAAGACCAGTATTTTGAATATAAAATTTACTAGATTTACTAGCAACACTCGTCTTCAACGTAAAATATAAGTCTTTGGTGATTTTACTATTTTTTTACTGACAAATTTATGATGGCTTTATCATGAAGACTTACAAGTTCGATGATTATAATATTATATGTAAAAATTAAAGTCTAGCTGAGTCGGGCTCAAATTTTCTCGATGTATTGAGGACTCAAATGTTATAAAATTGAATTGCTTAAAGCCACTGCACATCTCTAATAAAAACCAAAATAATCGATTCTTGAATTAGTTTCTATTGTATAATAGCTAATATCTAATAATATTGTTCTATTCTATAATAGCTTACTATTATTGGCTTTTGTTTACAAACACAGAAATGAGTTTCTCTTTGAATTATCACTACAATGTGTTCAATAGGTTTTTAGAAAAAGAAGAGGTAGATAAAATTGTGCGCTACGTAGGTAGAGAATGATCTTTATATTATTTGAATTAGTGAAATAAAGTTTAGAAATTTGGAGTCGTCCAGGAAATTATTAGTGTGAGCGCGGTTTCAAACAAGTAACCGTGTAAAGTAAAGATGGGAAGCGTTGAGAGAGCATCTATTTACGAGTTGTCCGGCGCCGCGATGTCCGGAATAAAAATACATCTTGGTCTGTATGCTGTAAGCCACCGCACAGAAACGCTGTGCTCTCTAAAAGCTACACTGGCAACACTTTGCTTTTGCAGTTCGTTCTTCTGTACATTGGAGTCATGCCAATTTTCAGCTCTCAATCTCCTTGTATTGGAAACTTCAACTGCAGACCCTTTTATTCTTTTATTTGTTTCTCTCAAACTTGAATGCCACTGGACGATCATTATTCCGATGTTATAATGTTTCAGATCCTACATGCAAAAGGGTAAAAAAATAATTGGCGTTCAATGTGATAACAAGTCAAATATAAATATAAAAGAAATTTGCGCGTCAAAACAAATAATTTATCATTTTAATTTTAAAACAACTCAGTTTATTTTTAATTACCAAACAATTTTTTCGAATATCTTTATAATTCTTGACAATTTAATTGAGTATTAAAATGTTAAATTAGTGGATTTGTTGTTAAATGTAAAATGTGGAGAATTTGGTGTAAAATTCGGTTAATTTCGTATAATTTTAGAAATGGTTGCATAATTAATATTTTCTTTTAATACAACAACTAGAAAAAATATGTTACGAATTTAGAATTAATTCAGATTGGAACATTTGAACCCAAATAATATTTAGCAACAGTTTTGCGTGAATATTGCATGGTAATATTGCTAACAGTGCACAGCAATGTTGAGGCAATATTGTTGTCTTTATTGTGCTGTCTAGTAGTTGTAGTAATAATTTCAAGCTTATTTGAAGATAAGAAGATGAACAAGAAAAATGTAATGTGCATGATGCTTTTTAGTGAAAACGTACTTATCCAAGACAGGAATAGACATGGAGAAAGATTGTTTTGCAGGCCGCTTATGACGTCAGAGTTCAAATATACATATACTATAGTACTATGGTACGTGATGATGTCAGACTAGTTTCCTTCGGCGAAATTGGCTGATACGATACCCCTGTATTTGTAAATGCGTTTAACTAAAGCCAAAAACTGAACGTTTTCATAGCGAGAATGATTTTATTAGATAAAAAGATCAATTGGTTGATTAGCTTTTCAGTGCAAACGTGAAAAAATAGTAAGTACAATTAATTGTCGCTATTCACCGTCGAATTTTTACATTCTCTTGAAAATCGTTCAAGTTGAAGATTCATTTTCTTTTTAATGATCCTTCTGGTTATGTTAATATTGAAAATGATTATTTTTGATGTGCTCACAAAGCAGACCTATATGATTTCAACTTGGTGGGGAATAGAATCTTCTGTAAAACAATGAATTAATCGTCACCACCGGGCTAACAATGAACTCGAATTTGAAATAGATATTAGCCACAAGTTAGCATGTCAGCTTAAATCAAACCACTGCTTAGTATTAAAATAATGCATGAAATTAAATGTAGATAGCTCGTGGACTAAAAGTTAATCTTTGTTAACTACAACATAACTCACTCTTCACTATATGTAATTCTAAGAATAGTTAAAATCCGGTTTTTGAACTGTTCGAATGTTAAGAAAGTAAAATAAACTCAGCGGACTTTAAAGATGGAACTTTAAATACAGTTAAAATTATTGCATTGGGTTTTTCTTTTGTTTTAAAAGTAATCATTATTTTATCAAAATAAAAAAGTAACAATTTAATAGTATAGGTATGTAAATATTTATCAGCACCTATATTTAAGCAATTGTCAACTTTTAAAAATTTATTTTCAGAACAAGTTTCTATTTAATGTGATAGATCAGTTCCAAAGTGATCTTGAAAGTTATATTATGGAGTTGATACAGATTATGCAAATAAGGAAGATGTTAAAGATCTTCATTAATAATTCTAAAAAAGTATAAGAAATGATCTAAAATTTGTTAAAGAAATTTTGAATTGTTTCATTCAAAATGTTGTTAAAATAGTGGTACTACTTTCAAAGTAGTAAAAAACCTAAACCCTGGCTGGAACCAGCTGGAACAAACTGCACCTAGTAAAGGGTTGAATGTTAAAAAAATCAGGTGTACTTTACGTCATTGTGTGCCGAAAGAATTTTTACTTAATCCCTTATGTGCTGATGGCAAAGATTTTGACCAACAAATCTTTGCCATGGAACTTAATAGGGGTTTAAGAAATCTAAAAATAAATAAAAGTTAGAAATCTGCAAATAATTAAAGTACCCTAATACTTTAGACCTAAAGAACTATAATCTCCTCTTAAGATTCCAAATTTTTTTTTTGTTTACAGTCATTTAACTAGAACAACAACATGGGAGGATCCTCGCAAAACAGCAGCAGCAGCAAGCGTGGCAGCAGTAGCGGCAGCTGTAGAAAGCGGGAAATCATCTACAGGAACAACAAATACTCTTGGGCCGTTGCCGGATGGATGGGAGCAGGCACGCACAAATGAAGGCGAAATTTATTTCATTAATCACCAAACACGAACGACTTCTTGGTTTGATCCAAGGATTCGTAAGTATTTTTGCATTTTTCAATATTTTTTCTTTGCGATTATTTCCATTTGTCACATAGAAAAATTAAGTAATCAAAATTTAGATAGATTTATAGAAAAGCGGATGCAGCCGTTTAGGAAACTGCCTTCTGTAAAATATGTCGAATATTATATACAGGATTTAATTTATCCTTTAATATTCATAATATTTTACAGAACTCAGTTACGTAAACGGTTGTATCTGCTGGCCCAGAAAATTTATGTAAAATTTACTGATTTCATTATTTCTATAATTAATTAAATTTATTAAGTACCTAATTTAAAATTAATTTTTATTTTGGGTCAGAATTCGTGAAATTTTCAAAGAAAATAAAAAGTATTTTTTTTAAATCGAAATGTTAAAAAAACATTTCTATTTGGCCTTAAGCATTCTTATGTGTCCACCAAAAAACCGAAAAAAAATTATTTTTTATAAAAGTTATTGCAAAATTAATTTTTTTGCAACTTTTTAAACAAAATTTTATTTCTCCTAAATGAATGAACCGATTTAAATGAACCAAGCGGGAATATAAAGAGGATAAAATATACTTTCGTTTAGAATTAGAAAATTTTTAAAAAGTTTATTTTTTAATAATTATTTAATAAATTTTTTAAAAACAATTAATTTTTTTAATGTTCTGCGCCTTTTAAAAATTTGAAAAAAATATTAACATACACTTAAAACTATAAGAAATCAAAATTCGTTGAGAAAATTTAGTACCGACAATTATTTAAAAAGTTATAATGAAAATTATATTGAACGGAGATGCGATTTTAATGATTTTCAGAATTAAAACATTATTTTTAACTACGAAATGAACAAAACACTGTCAAATTAACATTTTTATTCAATCATATAACCATAAAAAATTGATAAAAATGATCAAAAACTAAGTTCAGCGTTGAAGCACTACACCGCGCCAATCTAATTTTCATTATGACTTTTAAAATAATTGTCGCTCCTAAATTTTCTCAACGGATTTTGATTTCTTATAGTTTTAAGTGTATGTTAAAATTTTTTTCAAATTTTTAAAAGGCGCAGAACATTAAAAAAAATTAATTGTTTTTTTTATAAAAAATTTATTAAATAATTATTAGGGGAGAGGGCCCTAAGGTGGTCACCCATCTTTTGAACGACTGTAGATTTCAAATGGAATTATATATAAAGGTCAATAATACGGCGTTTGAAACTTTATCTTATTACCTAACTTCCTATCATAAAGTTTTTTTTATTTCATTAATAAAAAAAAAGTTATGGCACTTTTTAAAAAAAGTTGAAAATTCGACTTTTAAAAAAGTGGCCCCAAGGTGGTCACCATACAAAAATTCACTAAAAAAGTTTTAAAAAAATGTAAAAAACGTATTACTAAGTTGTTTATTTAATATTAATTGTTTTTCAGGATCACAGAAACATATTACATATTTTTTTTGCACTTTGTCCTTTCGTCAAAAATGATACTTTTTGTGTATGTATTAGATAGGTAAAATTTTGAAAATAATTCTATTTTATTATTATTCATCATAAAACTTAAAAATTGATAAAATTCACATTCACAGTGATAAATGTTGATAAATATGGCGTATAAACATATTTTCATAAAAAATCAAAAGTGTCCACCTTAGGGCCAAGAAAGAATTTTTTAAACGTTAATGAAAAAATTTTTTAAAGCACAATATTAATTATATTCATTTGGAATATTATTGTACGATATATAAAGATAATTATAACGATTTTTACTAATTTAAAATGGTTAATTTCGATGATTTTAACACCCTGAGAAAAAAATTTATCGATCATTTAAAAACAGAAATTTTACGACGTTCACGTTACAAAGAGACTCATACGACTATTTACCTCAAAACTTTACTAAAATCTTTGTCTTCTCAAATAATAACAATAACAAAAAACATTTGAAGATACTAACTAATATACAAAAATTTTCTTAGGGTGACCACCTTAGGGCCCTGACCACCTTGGGGCCCTCTCCCCTAAAAAATAAACCTTTTAAAAATTTTCTAATTCTAAACGAAAGTATATTTTATCCCCTTTATATTCCCGCTTGGTTCATTTAAATCGGTTCATTCATTTAGGAGAAATAAAATTTTGTTTAAAAAGTTGCAAAAAAATTAATTTTGCAATAACTTTTATAAAAAATAATTTTTTTTCGGTTTTTTGGTGGACACATTCTTAAGGCCAAATAGAAATGTTTTTTCAACATTTCGATTTAAAAAAAATACATTTTATTTTCTTTGAAAATTTCACGAATTCTGACCCTTTTACAAAATTTTTTTAGTTACTGGAGACCCTATTTATAAACTTTCGATTTAGTGATATTTCAGAAACACAAAAGAGAAGTTTTATTTCCTATCACTAGCGTATTTTACGAATATTAACCCTGTCATATTCCATTAGTTTATTACTTTTTCTAAAAATCCTGCAAGAAGTTTGTTCTAATTCAATTTAAAAAAAACGAATTTTTGGTATTTTAGATGTCTACCAAAATTTCGTTTAATTACCTTCTACAAAACTAACTTAATAAATTAAAACAATTGTTAGTACTGGAAAATCAGTATATTATATTTGAGCCAAAGAAGCATTAAATATCAGAATTTTTTTTTAGTTTACTAAAGTTTTTAAAACAAATTTTTATTAAAACAAGAATTTATATTAATATTAGACGCTATTTAAAAAAAATTCAAATGATTCCAGGTCGGGGAAAGCAGTGATTTTGAATTTTTTTGTCACGAATTTTCTAAACATTTCGAAATTGCAACTTAATTAATGATTCCTGGACTGGGTAGCAATTTTTTTCTTTTGATAATTGTTTATTTTCATATTAGAGGCTATTTAAAAAGGATTCCAAGAGGATCTTAGACGGAGAAAGAAATTATTTTTATTTTTTTTCAAATTTTTTCCAAAAATCACAAAATTTTAAATAAATTAATAATTTTTCACCTTAGTAGCAATTTTTTTCTCCTGATAATTATTTATTTTAATGTCATGAGCCATTTAAAAAAAATCTAATTGGTTCCAAGTCGGGTAAAGCTGTGATTTTGATTTTTTAATGAAATTCCAGGATTTTTGGAAAAAATTAGACAAAAAAATTCAAAATCACTGCTTTCCCCGACTTGGAATCACTTGAAATTTTTTTTAAATAGCGTCTAATATTAAAATAAACAATTATCAAAAGAAAAAAATGACTTCCGAAGCGAGGAATTATTAATTTAATTGAATTTTCGTGATTTTTGGAAAATCCGTGAGAACAAAATAACAACTTCTGTTTCTCCACCTTTTCTTTATTTTAGGGTTTGGTGGGTTTACTTGGGTTATAATTATAAACAAGAAAATTTGTATCCTGAACTTTTTAAAGAAATTTTTTAAAAAATTTTTTAGTTGAATCAACGTTGGTAACTTCAATTTCATCCACAAGTCAGGGAACTTTAATCGAAAGAAACGACAAATTAAAAACCTTTCATAAATGTCAATTTAGTTTTTGTACTTTTTTGTTTAATATTGCTCATTAAACACGATTCAAATTATTGAATTTCCTTTACACTTACTTTTTTTATAATAAAAGTTTTAAGCACAATACAGGCTTTGAAGTGACACACTTTTCCACTTTTTTGACACTTTTTTTGGTCAAGCCTACTTTTTGCTACTTATTTTGTCAAAAAGCTACTAAATGCTACTTTTTTCCAAAAAAGGTAAAAAAATTGACAGAATTCAAGAATTTTAGTTTTTTTTGTGAATTTCGTAGATTTCAAAAAGCCCGCTAAGTGAATTAAATTTATTATTGGACGCGTGATTATAATATATTATAATAATTACTAATAGTGGATGTTTATTAAATTACAACTTTTTAAAGTTACGAATTTTTTGTATCTTAATTTTATTATTCTTTAAACTTCTTAAAAAAATTAAAAACTAAATTTTTCATTTTTCACCATATAATTTAATAGTAATACCTTTTTTGACTTTATTAAAGTTTCATCAAGTATAGAAAGAATCAATTAATTAAGAATAAAAACTTAATTCTTTTGGTTATATAAATTGTTTGATTAAAAATCCAAAATAATATTTATTTAACGTGACTATTTATTATATGTTTAGAAACTTTTTGTGAAATTTAATAAAAATATTAATTGTATTTTTAATAATACAGTGTTTTAAGTCATTTGTTCAATAATAAAAACATTTATAAAGATTTAAGATCTATCTAAAAAAAAAAATAAATTTTTTTATTTGAATTTAATTACTCATAATTTATTATTGTACAAAATTATGGCTATGTGGATTCTGAAATATAAAAAATTTATGTGACTAAAAACAATCCATTTTTTCCATTTTGATAGTTGTTATTAGTAAATTACTAAAAAAGGTTTACGTTTCATTTTTAAAAATTAGATGGCTGATAAAAAGTTATTGATAGTTTTTTAAAAATAATAAGGAGAAAGAAGGTGTCAATTTTACTTCTCAAAATTATGAGCCTGTTATTAAAAAACAAATTTTTATGAAAAATCTCCTTTAAGTATTATTAACAATTACATTTCATTATGTGCAAAATGTTATGAACAAGTGCGTTTTACTTTCTAATATAAAATATCGACAAAAAAGCTATTATATTTTCATATTTTATGTTTATATCAAAATTTAATAAAAATTTTGTGAATTCCTATTTCTAATATTTTTTTCTTTCAATTTTTTCGACAACAACTTATATTCACTTAATTTTCTTACTTAAAAAACTAATTTTACTTAATTTTTAATATGCTACTTTTTGATACTTTTTTTCAATTTAGAAGACACTTTTTTCTTCCAAGATGCTACTTTTTCATACTTTTTTTGGCCTGCTACTAGACTTCGAAGCCTGGTCACAATAAGATTTTTTAACAAACAATTTTTAATTATCATGTGTTTTTCTTTATTAATAAAATTGTTACTTAAAAAGTATTATTCAATTTTTAATCAGCAATGCAGAATATTAAATAATTCAAAAATTTGAACCTGCTAAGTTAAAAGGGATTTTACGCCGAAAATGAAGATTTCGAGAAAAACGTTCTTAAAAGTAACAAGTCATCAGATTTTAAAAATTCAAAATGGCGTACCCGATATTGAGGACAAAAATTAAAAATTGGGTTCTTGGGCTCAAATGAAAGCTTTAATTATAGATAACAATTTTCTTGAGGAAGAATTCGAAGGTGTTTCAATAGGGAAATTAGAAATCATTTTTGCTTTTTCATTCAATTTTGTCATTTTTAATATTTTTCTACCACCATGTAAAACCACAGCATTGTGAAACAGAGGATAAACAAATAAATGTTTGAGCATTTAAACTTTAAAAAAACTATCATGTCTCTAGTCTTTCTTATACCTATGTCGCTAAATAGGGTCTCTGGTGTACACGTTATTCAAGTTTTGGATATTCATGTGCACGTTAATTGAATTAGCAATTTAATTTTTTATAGCTACTCATCTTCAGAGAGCTCCCACATCCGGCGCAATGTTGCCACAAAACTGGCTGCAACAACCAAGTGGAGGTGGCATTCAAAACAATCAAACCCTTCAAGCTTGTCAACAAAAATTAAGACTTCAATCATTACAAATGGAGCGAGAACGACTGAAACAACGCCAACAAGAAATTATGCGCCAGGTTGAAAGAGTTTTTAATAATTATAATATCACGCGAGTATTGCATTTGGGTGATTCTTGAAAGTGGTCACTTTTGCTTCCCAACTGTTCTCTATTTAATAACTTTAAATATTATTTTCAAATCTGCTTTAAACTTTTGCACCATTAATCTTCACCACATTTTATTTGTATTTTTTCATTATTTATATTATTAATGGACAAAACTTGACTTTTTTAAACTTATTATTCAACCTCTAAACTAAAAATTTTGAAACTGTTTATATCCCAGTAAAAAAAAACTAATTCAAATGAATTGAAACGAATTAACATTTTTGGTAGGCTCCAATTCGTATTTGTCACAAAGCGGGATTCACTCAAGCTCTTTGTATATTCAATTGAATTTAATTCAATATGTACCAATTTGTCCAAACGAATTCGCATTCGAAAGAAATGGCCAAGGAATGCATTGAATTCGTGCTAACGAATTGAAAAAAAATTAAAGGCTCAAAACTTGTCCAGTGAATTGGTACGGATAGAAGGTTCGGAAGTTCAATACAGTTTCACGAATTCAGGAAAATTGCATCATGGCTCCAATTCGTATTTGTCACAAAGCGGGATTCACGAAAGCTCTTTGTGAATTCTTTTTAATTCATTTCAATTAGTTTTCGTTTACTGGGATAAGATTAAAAAAATGTAAACTCAAATATTAACAAAATGATTATTTTTATGCTACATTAAAAATATCTACATGGGAAATTTGGTTAAAAAATTATTTTTTAAAAAAAGTTACCACTTCGTTGAGAATCACCTATGTAAGTTGTAAATTATTTTCTTTTTTCCATTACTAAAATTTTAATTAATCTATCAACAAAATTACAAACACTTATTTAAAACAAAATAAATGCAGATTTATAACAATTTATCATAAAAACGTTATTCTGGTTGACGTTAGTTTATTATCTTAAAAAAACATTTATAAAGAACAGTTAGTATTGTTATCTTGGTTTAACCCAGATAGCACAAAAACTTCCAGGAAATTTCCAGGAAGTTTCCCACAGCAACTTCGGAAGTTACCTTTGGTAACTTCCTGGAAGCTTCCCCGGAATACAACAATGTCCGCCTCTGGAACTTCCTTCGGAAACTTCCTGGAAGTTTGCTGGAAACTCTCTTTGGAAACTTCTTGTTATTTACCAGTGTAAACTTCTTGGAAATTACCAAAGGTAGTTTCTTGGAAATTATCTAGAAATTTCCAAAACTTATTTTAATAATAATAGATAATAAATAATAATAACAATATAATTTAATAAATAAATTTATTGTTTAAAAAGTTTTAAAAAATTAAGAGATTTTCATATTTTTCATTGACCTAAAATAAAAAATTGTATTTAATGAAAAAAAACGAAAATAATAATCTTAAACGTGCAAGGGTGAGCAGACTCGAACCTTTGTATAGCCTGATGGATAAGTCTAAAGGTATCAAGTCGGCTGCTGGGATAGCGCCTTAACGCGCTCAACCAAATCGCCACTTGCATCCATTTTTGAAAATGTAATATACACATTACCTATTGGATTCTTTCTACTAAGTATCTTTAATTTCTATTTTACCAACTGTAGTAACAGTTTTTTTGGTAAATGAGGTTATGTCATAGTTAAATGTTTACATCCTGGTTTACATTTACATATCAATTTTAATTTAAAAATAGTAGTGTCAGTTTTACAATTGCTTATATATTACGTGGAAACAGGGTTCGCACGTAATATACGTCAAGGTAATATACGTAGTTTTCTACACGTATATTACTACGTATATTACGTCTTGAATTTTTTACGAAAATAGATGTATATTACGTTTTGTCGATATTACTACGGCGCATGCGTAGAACGGGTAAAACGTGCATAACATAACCTCAAATATTTGTAATTCAATAACCACATTGTTAATAATAACCACAAATTGTTTATTATTAATCATCTGCCTGCGAAGATGAATGTTTTAACTGCAAATTTTCTGCATTGAACGCATTTTTGTCACCCTTTTTTACAGACATTTCTAAAACAATTGACAGACTATCAGAAAACTAATGCTATTTACGTATAATTATTGTATAAAAACAAACATTTAAATTAAGAAAACGTGATATAATTTTATCGCTTAATTATGCAAAGTTTAATAAGTAGGGAAAATTATAAGGTATATGTTTTTAAAGGTTATGTTATGAGTGAACATCCTTACAAAAAAATTAATACGTTAATATTGATATTTGCGGAGTTTATCCTACTGCATTATATAATATTGTAACAAAATTTTTTTTTCTCTGCCGTCCAGATAAATATAAACTATTTTGAAGAAAAATTTATACACATCTTGCGCGCGCCATATTGAAAACGTAATATACTGAATATTTTACTCTTTTTGACGTATATTACGTCGAAAACGTAATATACGTCAAAAACTCTCAAGTTACGCGTAACTTCCGAACCCTGCGTGGAAATGAATATTTATTTTTGAATTAGTGTTTTGTGGTGTTGGTGTTTGTGAATAATAAAGAAAAAAATTGCATCCTCATTTTAATAATCCTTATCATTATTTGTTTAAAGTTTATATCATACTTTTTAATACGTTTTTTTATTATAGAAAATTTAGTAGACATTTTTATATATTTTGGAATGTTAAATTAAATTTATAAATTAAAGTACAATTTTTAATGCAAATCAATTGTGTGTAATTATTTTTTTTTAATCATTAATGTATGTAAACTGAATTTTAATTTTTAAATAACATATTACATGCAGTTTTTATTTTTTATAAAATATGTAGGATTATATTTAGTGCCTTTTTACTAAACTATAAATTATTCAACAATATTTCCATTCTCCAAAAAATGGGGAAAAATATTTTTTAAAAATATTTTTAATAAAAAAACTGCTAAATTGTGCAAATTGTGTTTTTGAAATTTACGTTTCATTTCGTTTCGTGTCGGTTTGAAAATTAAGTCAAAAAAACATTACATTTTCAAAAATGGATGCAAGTGGCGATTTGGTTGAGCGCGTTAAGGCGCTATCCCAGCAGCCGACTTGATACCTTTAGACTTATCCATCAGGCTATACAAAGGTTCGAGTCTGCTCACTCTTGCACGTTTAAGATTATTATTTTCGTTTTTTTTCATTAAATACAATTTTTTATTTTAGGTCAATGAAAAATATGAAAATCTCTTAATTTTTTAAAACTTTTTAAACAATAAATTTATTTATTAAATTATATTATTATTATTATTTATTATCTATTATTATTAAAATAAGTTTTGGAAATTTCTAGATAATTTCCAAGAAACTACCTTTGGTAATTTCCAAGAAGTTTACACTGGTAAATAACAAGAAGTTTCCAAAGAGAGTTTCCAGCAAACTTCCAGGAAGTTTCCGAAGGAAGTTCCAGAGGCGGACATTGTTGTATTCCGGGGAAGCTTCCAGGAAGTTACCAAAGGTAACTTCCGAAGTTGCTGTGGGAAACTTCCTGGAAATTTCCTGGAAGTTTTTGTGCTATCTGGGAATAGTCTTAAGTATGTCTTTTTAGAAAACTCTAAAGCAACTTGTAAATTCTTTATTTAACAGCAAGAATTAATGCTACGACAAACATCAACCGATGCTGTAATGGATCCATTTTTATCTGGAATCAATGAGCAACATGCACGTCAAGAGAGTGCAGATAGCGGTTTGGGATTAGGGTCAGCTTATTCTCTTCCTCATACACCTGAAGATTTCCTGGCCAATATCGACGACAATATGGACGGGACGAGCGGTTAGTAAAAAATTTAAATATTTCTTTTTTACATTGAAATTCAGATAGTAATTTACGTGGAAATAACTTACGAAAATTTTGAATTCAAGTTAAAAAGAGTAGGAGTTTTTATTTAAAATTTTTTAATTTTTAATCATAAAGACACCGACAAACTGGGATTAAAGACATTTGAAAATGAATTGTTCTTATTCGAAGTGTCCTTCATCTATTTATATCTCTTCTCTTTTTATCTATGAGTAGAGGAAGGTAGATTATATATGCGATTGCATAATTTTTTAAAATCAAGTAAAAACATTATAATATTATGTTCATTCATGTTTTAAACCTTTTACAACAATATCTTTTAAAATAGAAAAAATTTCACCTATATTAACGCAAAATTGTGGAAAATAAATTAATTTTTTAATTTTTTCTGCTATAATATTATCACAAAACTTATTCTCTAAATTTGAATTAGTAAAAATTTGAACTAATTAGAAGAAAAGCGATATGAAATTCGAAAAAATATTTTTTCTTAATTCTACCTAGAACAAGATATTAAAATTAATGAAATTCTTTTTTTCGTAGATTCAAACCGGTACTGTACATAACTTATTGAGTGTTTTTAAATGTATATTTTTTCAGAAGGTGGAGCACCAATGGAAACGCCTGATTTATCAACTTTAAGCGATAACATTGATTCAACAGATGATCTTGTGCCTTCCCTTCAGGTAGATGCATTCCCATACATATAATGTTACGACATACTTAAATTAATTTTCTCTAATATTTGGAATTTTTAAATGTGAACAATTCCAACAATGATTTCAAATACAGGTGTACAATATTTTTAATTCTTTAGATTTATCAGGGCTCGAACCAGGTCCGTAAATCCCGTAAAGGTCCGTTTTTTAAAGAAAAGTCCGTAAAGTCCGTAATTTCGTCCGTCAACAAGAATTCAGTTATTTAAATAAAATTGAATAAAATTCTACCCAAACCTTTAATTATTTTCATAAAATAATAAAAATTTCATTGAATTTTAAAATGTTTTCAGATTACAAATTTTTGATAATCTGAATTTTTTATATTTTTAACTAATAATTCTGTGGAATTAATTTTTTTGAGAAAGTTTTTAATTGCCGATTTTTTTTGAAATTATTTGAACTTTATATTTTCTAATTGTATATATTTAATTGAAGAATTTACGAAGGTAATTGAAATTTTATAAAATTGAATTGTAAACAAATGAATTTGAAAATTCTCAAAGAATTTTTTTAAAAATTGATAATGTTGATAATATATATGATCTTGGGAAGGTAAGATTTGAATCGCTGTGTGAGAATGTCTTCTCTCTACTTTAAATTTTATTCTTATAAGTGTGGAGTGATTTTTTATTATATTTTGACAGAATTTTAATCTTTGACGTGTTAGCATGTGTTCGATGTTCTAACGAAATTTAGGTATATCATTATTGTTAATTTATAGAAATAGTGCTTTTAGACCTTTGCAAAGAAATACTGATGTGTAACCTATCTATTTAATAAAATTTTAGCCTGATGAGGTTGGCAAACCCTAGCCAACGAAACGTCGCTCTTTTAACGACACACTTTTTAATTTTTTATTCAAATCTTACCTTCCCAAGATCATAATATATATTATCAACATTATCAAACTATGGAAGGATATATTTCTAATAACTTACTTCTTTAAAAATTATTAAAAAATAATGCATTTATAGAAGAATTTTTGTTTAAAGCACGAAAAAAAATTTTATTTTGGAAAAGTTACAAATTATTGCAGAAATTCAATTATTTTCAAGAGTAATAATATTTTTTGCAAAAATTAAATATTGTTCATAAATAATAAAATTCTGTTTAGAAATTCAATTATTTTCATAAAAATAATAAAACTCGTCGCAGAATTTCAATTATTTTGAATACAATTTTAATCGAATTCCTCAAAAGATGTAATTATTCTTAAAAATTTAATTAAAATTCGTCGACAGAATTAAATTATTTAAAGATTTGTTTATAAAATTATTTATGGGAATTGAATTTCAAGAAACATTCAATTATTCAATAAGTAATTTTGTTTTTTTATTTAAATAATTGAATTGAATTTTGAAATTAATTTTTTTGAACAAGTTTAATTGAATTTTTTTTATATTATTTAAAGTTTTTATTTTTTAATATATATTTATTTGAAGAATTTTCGAATAATTGAAATTTTGTAAAATTGAATATTGTAAACAAATGGATTTGAAAATTGTTAAAGAACTTTTTTAAAAATTATTAAAAGTAATTGATTTAAAAAAGAATTTTAGTTAAAAATTCTTGAAAATAATAATTGAATTGATAATGATTTTATCACTCGGTCATCTTTAATTTATCTTTAATCACTCCAAGTGATCGATATCTTCATGTTTTATAGTTATGAAAAATTGAATTTATAGTTTTAAGTAAAATGTTCTCTTATTTTTCTCGGACTGGTTATATTTTTGTCAGTAATTGGTTCGTAAATGGTTCGTAATTTTTCATTTTTGGTCCGTAAAGTCCGTATTTTTAAATAGTTTCACTGATTTGAGTCCTGATTTATAAATGCAATAGTTAAAAATAATAAAGAATTTCCTTGTTTTAGCTCGGAGAGGAATTCTCTAGTGACATTTTGGAAGATGTTCAGTCTTTAATAAACCCAAACACCACAAAGCCAGAAAATGTTCTCACGTGGCTGTAGTATTTTTCAAGAATTTGCATTCGTAGCATCGAAACTGAATTACATACATAATCAATGAGTTTTTAGACTTTATCAAAGAATCGTCGCTTCCATCGGGACATAAGTGCACAATAAGATAGTTCGCAACATGCAGGCACACATATTTTTTTATGAAATGTGCGTATGTTTGCTTATAAATCAAATCAGGTGAATGATGCAATATCGAAATGAAAAAATTGATGTACATATTTTGGTATTCCATGTCAAAACGAGCTTAAGTAAGGAATTTAGAAACGTGAAGTAGTATAAATAGAGTGTTGTACACCAATTTTTTCATTTATTTAACTAAAATAATATTTTCTACGTAGTGTTGCATATGTAGAAGGAAATATGAAGGAAATACCATTGAACTCTACATATTTTTTCTTACTTTTATGTAGTTTTTCTCTGCTATTACTACTTCACAATTGGACAATTCAAAAGTTTACAATCAGAGTATAAATTGACATAATCATTTCGATATCTCATCATTAAAACAAAAGTACATAGCTACATGTTCTTTTTACTTCTATATTTTTAATCTATTTTACCTTGACAAGTGACAAAAAATATAATTATATATGTACACATATATTCCTGTCGAACCCGCTCAATTTTTGAGTCATAATAAGATTCAGATTGGTTTAATTTTAATTGAGTAATACTTTCAAATAATATTATTTCAAAGTTCAGTTGTTAGCGCTACTTTGAAGATAAAAGTTTGTACAATTTTTACTTGAGATTTAGTCAACACAACGTAATTGACAACGTGCCTTAGAAATTAGGATAGAAGGTGAACGTTACATTGTTTAACGTTTAAATAATAAATACATTCTTTTTTATGAGATATTCTTGCAAACAAGACTCAAGCATTTCTTTTAAATATGTAGAAACGTAAGTCAATATTTAGCTATTTTCGCGAGAAGAAATTTCTTTCCAATGCGCAAGTTTTTCATCAGCCGAGGCACGCCACTTAAACAACTCTCATGTGAATTCTTCATAGTTAAGTTTCTTATTATCAAAATGCGTTTAACATAAGTGCTGAATTAAAATAAATGAGTTTGAAGTCGACTATTTCGTTTTCATGAAATAGTAGAATTTATAAAGTATAAAGCTCAGCTATGAATACGTCACATCAAAGTGTAAGCGGCATAGAAGATTGAAACGCATTGATTGTCTAATTTTAATTTAACAATAGAACGTGTGAACGTGTTCGAAGGTCTCACTTTTCTCTACAAAGATGTTTGTCAAAGTAAAAAACTCCGACTAAATTTGCAATTCTTCTGTCCAGAGAATTGTGTTTAGAAAGCAATGAAATTTCGAAGAAAGATAGTTTTTAGGCACTAGTATTGACTAAAAATTCAAAATGCGGAAACTGATGTGTAAATGGGTGATTCTTCACTCAGTGGTAACTTTTGATTCCCTACTGTTCCCTATTTAATAACTTTAAAAGTCATCATTCTTTTTTTAAACAAAATTTATGATTTAATTGGAAAAGGCTCAAAAATGCACTTTTCTTGATTATCCAATAATATTAAATAATATTAAAAATAAAATAAAATAATATTGAAAAATAGTAACCGTGTAGTAAAAAGTTACCACTTCGTGAAGAATCGCCAAATAAAAGATGAAGGTGCCAACCTTCGCAAATTGTTATTTACAAATTAGGGTATCAATAAATTAGTTGATAATTTTAATGTTGCAAAAATGTGCGTGTGTATGTTTTCAAATGGAATTTTCTTAAAATGTAAAATTTCTATTGAAAATTCTCAAATGAAAACTTGTGTGAAATCAAAACAATATGATGCAAACTAATTTGCTGAAAATTTAGAAATCGACAAAGATTCCTAAATTAATATTCATGTCCAAAAGTTTTGTAGGTATTCCGATATCATATCAACGAATTTTTTTTTAATATTTTCATTAATATGTATGCTAAGACTAACATTTTCTTAAGATATTCATTTTAAATAATTATTATTGTAGTATTAGTTTTATATAAATAATGTTCTTTTTTTCAAAATCTAGTAATTATCGTTAAACTTTATGTTACATGCGTCGTTGATGTTGATTCTGATTTAATTCTACATTTATTATCACTTGAAGTGAAATAAAAGTATTTAGTTTTGTCACAAGTTTGGGACAAGCTTACAGATTAATTGGGAAGAAAATATTTGACTAGAATTTCTAAGAAAAATTAGTTTTAGCATACATGGCAAAAAATGATCTACTTAATTTCTGATAATGGAAATTAAGTAACGAAACTTTTATTTGTAATCGCATGTTTGTATGCAGAAAACTATATTAAAATTTGACTGCTTATTATGTTTCCAGAAGAATAATTTGCAAGGAATGACCAATTCTGGAACAGATTTTGCACATTTTTACTATGCAAACTGTATTGTGATACAGGAATGTCCATGCTCATAATATATCTAATATCTATATACATAAATGTGTATAATGTATATTTAACAACATATAGTTAAAAAACAAGTGCCTTGATTCGACAATCGCAATCGCGACAGCCGTCCATATTTTTATCGCATTAGCGATCGTTTAAAAGTGCACGGCATGCTTTAGACCAGTTTAACATTCAAGTATTGAAGTGTGAATGCAAAATATATACAAATATTATATATTTTTTTTATATATAAAGTCTATACGTGTTATTAGAATTTGCGGTTATCGAAAAAACTCGTTAGTCTATAAAATTTTCTTAAATTTTGTACTACAGTTATATAATGCGGCGCTAAAATGAAGATAGAGTATGATGTTTACAGAAATACTTAATTACATTTAGCCTTAAGAATTAATTTTCTAAATGAGTTGGAAAAGATAACCTTTCACTCAAACTTCTTACCACTTTTAATCATCTGACATCTTTACTAAATTTTATGTACTTTGTCATCAATTACCGTGACTGGGCTTAGTGCCTCAAAAATCTGACTAGTTAATTCTAACTAGCAGCTAGCAAATTAATGTTGACAAAATGAAAAAACAACTTTAAAAGGAAATCATTTCAACTGACATTTTTAAGCTTTAAAATTCCAATTGGATTAAAGGCAAAAATACTTTTTGGAACACTAAAATATTGGTCTTTCATATTGGGATCCGTGAATACGTGACTTTTACCTACTTTCCCCGTCCATTTTGTGCTTTGTTCTACTTCTGTTACATTAGTTGAAGAAAGGCAAAGAAGAAAAATGGATAGAGAGAATAGGTCATCACTAGCTGGCACACTGCTGTTTAACGGACTCCAATAGGAATGAATATTATCTAAAAAAAACACTTGTTCTTCTAGTTAAAACTTAGTGACCAACACTCAAAGTTAGAAAATGTTATCTTTTTATTTTATTTTTGTGTTTTAAATCATGCTTTAAGACTCGTTTCTCATTTAACTGTAAGTAATTTTTACCCTTTTAAGAGATTTCTTTCCTCTTAGAAGTTTTCTTGCAGCCAAAATAATTGTTTTATCGATTTTTTACTCTTGCCTCTTCCGGAAGGAGGAAAAGTTGCATAGAGTATCACAGTATGATTTTTTATTTATTATTCTCCATTAACCATTTACACACTAAGTTTAATGCTCCGCAGTTACAACATTAGTAGTGTGAGTGCTTTCTTTGTATGTATTCAGTAAAAGTAAGATTTTATTCATTAAATGAATGCAGAGTTAATACATATCTGTATTTGCACTCATGCGATTTTTTAAATGAAAGAATTTTAAAAACTTTTAAATCTGATATTAAACCTATTTAGATTATCACCTCTCTTTCATGAAAATATTTATTAAAATTTTTTCTTTCCATTCAACATGAATAAAGTAGGTATTTTAATGATGTACCTTTAATGAGATTGTGGGAATTATAAAAGATGCTCACTGTTTTAACTAATAGGACAAGGAATGTGTTGGGAATTTTTTAAACTTGTATTGATACTTTTAATTAGTGTTTCAAATGTATTTATGTATATGTATAAGTACGTATTTTTTTATGAAAACAATTAAAGAAATTAGTCTGCTACATATTGAATTTAATTTGTGACTCAAAAGTGCCTGCTTTTTAAATAAGAAAAGATGTTTTTTTTATCAATTATTAATTAAAAAATTGTACATAGTGAAATAGAAAGTTGTAAAAAAATTTTACCGAGAAACCGATTTCTCATTTATGCGATTTATTTTTGTAAGAAATAAGATGTCAAATGGATTATTTTTATAAAATTAACTTTTTGGTAGAACAAGGTCGATAATTTGTTTCTTTTAACAACTGAATGTAAGATACCATGGAGAGGACACTTGTAAAGTTTTGTATATTCATAAATTGGCTTTTTTGAAAGGTGACTAATTGTGCATATAACTATACAATATTTGAGATTATAAATACAGCAAACATGCTATTAGTTAATATGTCAGTATTTAGATTACGCTCATCAGCGATTGTTTGTGACGTACGTTTTTATATCGATAACAAGTGCCTTAGTAATAATGATAACAATAAATATACTGTTTACTTACGTACAATAGCGATATATTTAATTACCTACACCTTGATTATCATTTTACGTATACTAGCATCATAATTGCTACCCTATTTCCATTCAACATATATCAGTTATATTTAAAAATTTTTGCATGTAATTTTTCCTTTCCATGTACGCTGTAACTCGCAATAGAATTATTTAGAACAAATAAATCTAAACTCATTTGTTAATGTAGATGTTGCTTGAGGTAACCCTGGGAGGATTCTTTTTATTTTCCAATTTTTCGTATCCTCCTCAGAAACAAAATAAATATTTTTCAAGCTATTTCAAAAAAAAAAAAATTTTTGTTTCAAAAACCTTTTTTTATTATTTCTATTTGACTTGGAGTGATCCATAACAGGGCTGATAAAAATCACGACTTTTTTAAAAAAATCAAAACAATCTAATTTTTTTAATTTAAATCATTTTTTATACTATTTTTTAAATATTTTAAGTAGTTCGTTTTTTTAACATTAAAAATGATAAAGGGAAAGTCCACTGACTTTCGTCTGAGAGTCGTTGCGACCATGTTTTAAAAAAATCTAATTTTCATATATGTGAAACTCGATGATTTTCTGAGTTCATTAATCATAATATTATGTTACAAATTTTATTTTGAAATTTGAGAAGGTGTTTTTCTTCGTTTTCGAAATAATAATTACAAAAATTTTTGTTCAAACAGGTTAATTATAATTTTAATTATAATTATTATTAATTATAATTATTATGCTTGAAATGAACAACAAGCATTGTTATTTTAGTGTCATTATATCAACTTCAAGTCTTAAAAAATTTTTATGCTCTAAAAAAATATTTGCAAAACCTTAAATTTTTTAGAGGTCCGACAAAAAAGTTGTAAGTGAAACGAAAAGTGTAATTTTTTTGAATGAAAAAATTATTTAAATCAATTTTCGTCCATAAGTAATAAAATTTCTAGTTTATTTTGGTCGTTAGTACGTCAGGGTGGCCACATGTCAGTAAAGTCAGTAAAGTCAGGGAAATGTCAGGAAAAAAATTTTTTGTCAGTAAAGTCAGGGAAATGTCAGGAAAAATTTTTTTGTTAGGGCAATTAAAGAAATTAAGGCGGTCACGCAATACATTTTTTGCTCTAAGTAATAAAATTTTTGTCAGGGAAATTCGTTATGTCAGTAAAATGTCAGGGAAATGTCAGGGAAATTGATAAGTCAATCTTGCGGCCACCCTGTACGTGCAGAATGGAAAAATTTATATTTATGGTAAGTAGGGGAGACTAGGTGCAGTTGTTACAATTTTGATAAAAACAGTTACTGTGATTAGAGTTTAACTCCAATTTGTTTGGTGAAACGATTAAATCAAAGGTATATTATCTAGTTTTAAAAGGCCATAATTGATTTAGCTCTATATCTATTATTTAATTAGGGAGCGTTCACAAATGATGTCACGTTTTTAAGGGTAGGGGGGTCTCTACTAAACGTGACACAATGTATTTTTACATGGGAAATTACATGAAATTGCGTGACAGGGGGGACTACAAGCATTTGAGTAAATTGTAACAACTGCACAAAGTGAATGTCGGTTGTTACAATACCAAGAATCATTTATAACATTTCTAAATTGAAGACAAATAATTTCACATAACAACTTATATTAATTATTCATAGTTTTTGACTCAACGTAATCGTTCATTTTTGACAAATATTTTACATTTCAAACGAATCTGCTGAATTTTGGAAAAAATATCCATTCTCATTATCACTTGTAACAACTGCACAACAGGTACATTTTTTACAATAAAACACTTTATTAAAAAAGTACACACTAAATGTGGACAACCAAGGCAGTTTTTTAAAATTGATATTAAAAAAAATTTACTTTGTTAAGTATAAAGGTCTATTAATTATTTAAAAAATATCAGGCAGAGAAATATTTACTTTTGGCCTCTAAAAACCAATGTGCCTATGTTTTTTTACTTGTAAAGCTTGCATATAATTTTTAAACATATTGCAGTAAGTTCGTACATAAAAACTAAACATTTTTCTCTTTGGAACCCCATCTCTATAACTAACTGTTTCTGAGATATTCCATTTGTAACAACTGCACAGCGTAACAACCGCACCTAGTCTCCGCTAAAGAAAAATATAAGATAATTAAAAATTGTTTGTTAAATTTTAATGTGTTTAAATTTTAAAACTTTTATTACAAAGAAAGTAAATGCAAAATTACAATTTAAATCGTGCTTAATAAGCTAAATTTAATAATTAATTTATATAAACCAGCAATGCCGGTTTATCAAATATTATACAAGAGAGTCTAAATACCAAATCTAAATTGACATTTATCAAAGTTTTTTAATTTGTGGTTTCTTTCGATTAAAATTCCCAGACTTTTGAAGAATTTTTAAAAATTCCCTGACTTTCCCCTGACTAAAAAAATTCTCTGATTTCCAGTTTTTCCCTAATTTAAGCCAAATAAACAAAACTAAATTATGATATTCATTATATTATTTATCTCTGTAACGTATTCTTTTTTATTTTTTTTAATTCAAAATTTTAAACAGAAATACTAATTTTGTAGCCTTTTCGGTTCCTAATGCATTTTGCAGTTTGATTTAAATGACAAGATTTAAATCAAGATTAAAATCATGATTTAAATCATTGCAACCCTAGTCCATAACTCGATAGTTTTATTTATAAAAAATAAAACTGTATGAGTATATCAGACGCAAGAACCCTGTGAAAGACCATAGAGAGCGATTGGACAATCACAATGAAAAAAGGGTAAAATTTCCCCTTTCTATGTGTGACTGTGGCCAATTTTCCTAACGAATTCCGTAATAAATTCCAGCGAATTACTAACGGATTTCTTTTGGAAAATTTTTTAAAATTTCTGCTCGGAAATTCGTATGGAATTCCGCACGAAATATTAGCTAAAAATTATTTTTTTAAATTTTAAGCCAAATTTCCTTACGAAATTCGGGCAAATTACCACCGAAATATTAGGAAAACTAGGAAATTCTGCTCGGAAATTCGTATGGAATTCCGCATAAAATGTCAGCTAAAAATTTGTTTCAAAAATTTTCGGCCAAATTTCCTTACGAAATTCGAGCGAATTACTAACAGATTAATTCTGGAAAAGTTGTAAACAGTTTTAAAAATTTTCCAAAAGAAATCCGTTAGTGATTCACTTGAATTTCGTACGGAATTCGTTAGGAAAATTGGCCGAAAATTTTTTAATCAAATTGTCAAAAGAATTTCCGTGCGAATTTCCATACAAGTTTCGGAACGAAATTTTTTTTTGAAAATCCATATTAAAAATTCGGGTATTATTCGCACGAATATTCGTGCGAAAAAACGTTTCAAAACACCACACGAATTTTACTAGTAAATTCATACAAATTCGATAGGAATTCTGTACGAATTTGGTCGGATTTCAGAACGATTTTCGTACGAAAATCGTACGAATCATTTTTACCTATGGGTAGTATAGGAAAGTCAATTTTTTGTCATATATAACAGGTAAAAAAACCCGAGATTTTAGTGCATGTGTTGTAGAAAAAAATTTTTACACTTGGAACGTGGACTAAAACTCCAAAATCTACAACCTCGACAGGTAATATATTACCGGAAAAGTTAATTTTTAAGGGTTTTTTTTCACTTTGCCAATCAAAAGAGAATCGAAAAATATTTCAGAATTTGGAATAAAAAAGTTTTTTTTTCCAGAACAGGGATTAAACAGGGATTCTGACATATATTTTTACCCAGTAATAAGGGGTGAATTAAAGTGGATTGGCACTTTATGCCCTTAAATTCCAAACCAATTCCGTTTTTGTCCACAATCTTAATGAATTCCTTTTCTATTGTTCAGAAGTTAATTTCTATCCAATTCAATTCTCTGTAACAACGTGACCAGAATTTGAATTCCCTTTAAATGCTCTTTAAAGAATTCAAGTTAATTAAAGGGTATTAACTCCGCAACTAATGCGGCAAGTGAATTCAGATTCCGGTCACGTGTGGTTACAGAAAATTGAATTGGATAGAAATGAATACAACCTAACAATAGAAAAGGAATTCATTAAGATAGCTTACAAAATCGAAATTGGTTTGGAATTTAAGGGTATAAAAGTGCCAATCCACTTTAATTCACCCCTTATTACTGGGTACGTCCGCTCTTGATTGACACAATAAAAAAGGTTATAGATTTTGGACTTTTATTGGTCTGTCCTGGAGACAGAGAGGAAATGTTACTTTTTGTATACTTTTTAACATGAGATATTAAACCATAACATCTAGATGATATGCAATCCCAAGTGCGAATTTAGGTTGGCCGCCAGAGTTTGAAGGTTGGCCCAAGGTTGGCCTAACTTTGGCAACCGAAGTTTTGGTTGCCAGAGTTTGCCCAACTTTGGCAAGTACTAGTGACCACAGTTGGCCCGACTTTGCAAGCCAACCATTAAATGCAGAGTTTAACCAACCGTCGGGACAACTTTGGCGACAAAGGTTGGCACAACTCATCCAAACGTAGTTTAAAAGACTTTCAGTTTCGGTTGGCCGAACTCTGGGCCACGGTTGGCCCGACGGTTGGCAAAACTCAAGAAAAGCAGTATAATTGACTTATAGTTTTTTGGTCGGCCGAACTCTAAGCCACGGTTGGCCCAACGGTTGGCAAAATTCTAGAAACGCAGTTTCATTGACTTAAACTTTCTTGGTCGGCCAAACTCTGGGCCACGGTTGGCCCGACGGTTGGTAAAACTTTGTGAAACGCAGTTTAATTGACTTACATTATTTTGGTCGGCTGAACTCTGGGCCACGGTTGGCCCGACGGTTGGCAAAACTATGTCAAATGCAGTTTAAATGACTTAAACTTTCTTGGTCGGCCGAACTCTGGGCCACGGTTGGCCCAACGGTTGGCAAAACTATGTCAAATGCAGTTTAAATGACTTAAACTTTCTTGGTCGGCCGAACTCTGGGCCACGGTTGGCCCAACGGTTGGCAAAACTTTGTCAAATGCAGTTTAAATGAC